ATTCCGTCTGTTTCATATGTTGGGATTCCATCATGTTCCTCAGCTCCTCTCTAGATTTATTAATCATGTCTTGCACTAGGAGCACAATTTCTCCTGTTATCTGAGAAATTATCTCTGATTTCATTTTTTCTGGATCCCCTTTTTTTGCCAGTTCAGTGGGTCCAGGTGGTTGAGTATCAGAGTGTTCCATCTCATTTCCCTTCGGGGTTGCTCTAGGTGATCTGGAAGTCTGGTTTTGAGACTTATTTACATGTTTTCTCATTTCGACTTGGAGGGGGGCTGCTGGTGCCTGCATGGGTTACCTCCTCTGAGCTGGGAGAGGTGGGAGAGGGGCCAGGAGCAGCGGGACAGAAGGTGGCCCAAAAGCCCTTTCTTGTGGGCTGGGAGCAGGGGGAGGGATGGTGGCCGGGAAGCCCCTTCTTCTGGACCAGGAGCAATGGGACAGCATCTCAGAAAACCCTACCTCTGGGCCGGGAGCGTTGGGACTCAGTACCGTGGTGTGGTGGTCTGGTGTCCTCTGGGTCTTTGTAGTGTGGAACCAGGTGGCTGCCTGTCTGCAGTGGGCTGATTCAGTGTGTTCCACTACCCGCGACCGACATTCAGTTTTGAGTAGACGGAGCCAACTATTGAGGTCCTGAGTCGCACAGAACACGCTGAATCAGCCCGCTGCAGACAGGCAGGTCTGTGCACACCCTACCGAGGTCCTGAGTCGCGGAAGACGCCGAATCACCCTCTATGTTTACATTTATCATTGGGTGTTTGTACCTGAACATGATGTATCTTAGTTCTTATTTTTTCCCTATTACCTATGCGCCCTTCCCTATTTACATAGACTTTGTTTCCATTTTTTTTCTTTCTCATAATTTTTCCTTTCCTTTCTTCCCTTTCCCCTTCCCCTCCCGCCACCCCTCCACCTTTGGACTTTTTCCTATTTCAAATTATCAGTTATTCGTTTTAATCATTTTCATCCTTATTTACACTTTCAATTTCTCACACTAGAGATACTATTCAGTATTTACACATGTGTGTCCTCCATGCCAGTGTTTGAATAAAGTATAAGAGAGCCCTTGGCAAGTCACTTTATCCTTCTTCTTGAGCTCAACAAGATTAATACTAAAATAAACTATTACTCTTATTTAGATTATATGAATGACCTCTGAGGAAGGTATTACCACATTGTCTTTTAATCATAGTAGTGACTAAAGGTAATAATAGGCTTTTCTAAAAGGAAATTATTTCGTGTAAGTTAAGTCCTATAATTTAAATGCATTTTTATCTTGCCTTTCCTCAATAAAGATGAAGAGTTTATCATTATTTTCCATTAATATGCAGATCAGAAAATCAACAATCACCTATTTAATATATCCCACAGTGTAGTATTGTTTGGAAAAAAGAAAATCCCTAAGAGATGTTCTTGTTTTCTGGAATTAACATCCTAAAAGGAGGTCTACAACTAATCGCAAGAAATAAATAGAAATCAATTTGTGACAGGATGAACAGAATCAAATAGAATTTAGAATTACAAGTTACTTCAGTTTTCTAGATCTCCCTACTTTGGCTTGAGGCGAGGACAGAGACATGAAGATTTGCAGCAGAATTACAAGCTGAGACAACAGAGTGAAAAAGAGGGAAAAGAATAGGAAGAGTACCTGTTGAGGAAAAGAAGGAGATAATCTGAATGGAATGGGACTCTGTGAAAGATCAGAGAAGCACGAGTTGGAGTGGGTCAGACAATGAACGTATAGAAGCCAGGTCACTAAGTTCTTTACCTGGGAAGGTAATACTCCCTTCGACCAAATGTTGTAATGAGTCTGCTAAAGATTTAATGGTGACACTAATAACTTTAACTGATTATAATTTGAAATGCCTCTTCAAATATTATCTTATTTACAATCTGTATATTAGCTCTAAAATACAATTGTGAGAGTAAAAATTCATGTAGTAACACAGGATAGTGAGGGATATTTATTGGGGCATATAGCCTTTTGTCTCCTTTATATATAGCTGGCTATTTTACCTATGAGTAAAAATGGTTGTGATTATGCTAAAAGTGTATCTGTGTGTGCACACCCACACACTGGAAATAGAAAAGAAGTTAATGCGTGAGGCAGGGAAACAGATGTAGATAACCAAAACTCCTTCTGGTCCTAAATTCTATTTGATTTTTTTTTTTGTCTTGTTACAAATTGACATTCCTCTGCCTATATTTGCTACCATGGCAAAGATCTTGATTTAGTTCTTTCTTCCTGCCATGGTAGCTAGAAAGGAAACTCAAGCTCATATGCTAAAGACAGAAGCCTCACAGGTGACGTGAGTCAGACAGTCTACATGCAGTTTACCAGAAATTTGTTCTTGCTGATCTAGAGATCAGAGATAAACTGAAAGCCCTGGACAGTCACTGGAATACCATTTCCTGCATCTAACAATAGTTAGCAAAAATTTGAAAGGTCTTAAATGTTAAAAATAACCCTTAGTTTGTTTACTTCTCCTTTCTAGTCAGGGTGAGAAGCAGCCTGTGAGTTACACTCAGTGAGAGAGGTGCTCACTGCAGAGAGCACACGCAGTGCTCAATGTTTCCCTCTTCCATGCCGTGTGCTGTTCCTGACCCCAAACCTAGTAAGCAAGTGAGCATGAGGCTGCCTCCAGAGGCCCGCTGATGCTTTGTGGACATGGGCTCTGTAGACATCTCGCTTCAAACATTAGACCCATTCACACAGCACCCGGTGTAAACAGCCTCTAGGTACAGATCCGGCAACTAAGAGCCTTTCAGTGTGACTCCTGAAAGGATCACTGGGAAGCAGGATCATGATTTGCTGTTAACCCGTACAGTGGATGTGTAGTTGACAGTAAAGGGACTCCTGACAAACCGTGGCATTCAATTCTACACCAAAAGTATTAATTCTCTTTCAGCTAATCTTTCTCTACAAACTCAGGTGGACTATGCCACATAATCTGGAGCTGAAATATAACAAATGAATATTATAAATGAAATTATATTAAGTATATTCATTATATTAATATCAAATTATATCCATTATATTATTATATTAATTCATTATAAATGAAATATATAAAAAGAAATATATAGATTACATATTTGTACTATTATATATTATTTTGTGTTATATATGAGTGTACATGTATAAATATATTTCTATAGCTATATAAATGAAATATATCTGTATAACTATGAAAAAAACTGTATTTCTCATAGGATATGATTGTTTGAAAATAACAAAAGACCTATGGTGTCTTAAATGCACACTGACTTACAAAATATCTTAGTAGAACACAATTTTGCAAAAATGTTCTTTAAATTTTGATACATAAATTCTTTATAACAATGCTTTGAAAAGAAGCCAATCACTTAGTTTGGCTGTACTGAAGGAGTTGTTCACTTTGGAATATAGTTGTTAAATATGTGTGCTTATGGTAATATAAAGAAAACCACCAAACATAATTTTCAAATTCAATTTTTGAAAAAATTACAAACAATGAAACATAAAGTCATCTTTAAAATGATATTTCATATTTGACAAAAAATGTTTTTGAAATTGTATCACTTGTGCTTGGGAATGTGAAAAATAGAAATATTTATAAATCTTCTTTATTTATATGTGGTAGAGAGATCACCTGGATAAAGTGTCAAAAAGAAATTGTGCTTACCTCTCTTGTCACAAAGCATTCGATTGGATATGTCAAGATGACAGTGATGCCATAACAAAACCTTCCAAAAGTCACAAGGTCATCACTTTTGCAGTAATTTTCAAATAAATCTCCTGAGAATAACATAAAATATGTTTATTTACTAGATACTGAATATTTGAGGTAACTAATACATGAGATTCTACTTATTATATAAGTGAAGCTCTATTAGTGTCATGTTATTTAATTAAGATGATAGATCTGGTTTAAATGTAACTTTGTGTTTTCAGTAACCATATACTGAGTTATTTACTTATATTAAAACTAATACATGTTCCACTCAAAGATAAATTTAAACTAATAGTTTTCTCATTGTTTGTTTTGGTAGGTTTGCCTCAAATTTGTATCAGCTATGCAAAAATACTTTATCCGTTGTCTTCTTCCATCAGAATCAACTCTCTAAATTCTTGTGCATCAGCAATATACATTTACTTCTGGTCTTAGTTTGGTCTTAGTTTCTGGTAAGTGACTGCATTATTAAAAAAAGAAAAAGAACTCTGTTAAAATAAACAAATTCTCTTTGAAATGCTATTCTTAGATCAAGGACAGCCCAGAAAGGAAGAGTAGACCAGTCTATCGGGGTGCTGGATTTCCTGTATTACACTATAGAGGTAAGTCACAAACTCAGGACCACACCAAAGAATTCCAAACATTTGTTATCTTTTTCATCATCCAGGGTGCGGAGAAATGCAAATGCACTGTTTCTAAACTGTGAAAATACGGCTGTTTGCCAGAAAGAACCATATATTTAATTAGTTCTCAACTAAATAAATAACTAAATAACTAAATAAGACCATATATATCTCAAACTAATTCTTATTTAGAGCCTGTATGTTTTTAGAAATCTATGAAGAAATCAGGCATCTAATGAGGGCACAGAAGTCATTTTTGGTAAAAACACTTGTTAATGGTGAAACATTTGGACCTATTTATTTTCTGACTATAATATGCTTCAATTTGAAAGCTGCAGTTGCCTTTTTTCCATTAAACTTAATAGAAAATTAGATCAAAGCACATATTTTACAATACTATTTACAAAGAACAAAACAATAACTCTGTATTTTTTCATTAGCTAAATACCCTAAATGACTCAACTCTTCCTAAGACTTAAAGTAACCCCCCTATCAACTAGAATAAATGCATATTACTCTCTAATATTAATTTTGGGCAGAAAGGGATTATACCATGAAAGTATAGTTGCAGTGTAGAACTGCTTCAAAATTGAATTAATAAGTTCCAGTACTCTGGAGAAAAAAAAAGAACTGCAGTTCCCCGTTCACAAACTTTCACTAATAAATATCCCTGAATCTTTTCAAATGTCACTGGGAATGTCAAGAAGAGTTCCCACTGCTTCACAAGCTGGAATTTGTCTACTGAAAAAGGGGAGAAAAGAAGCATTTGTACAAACAAGCTCCAATTTGCCTGAGGAGAAATGGCCTGGAGAAATAGTGTCAGCTTATTCCAGATTGAATCTAAGTGTATTTTAAGGAATTATAGTTAAGGGTAGAACAAAGACAAAAACCACATCAAAAACTGTAATAAACTTTGTTAGATAAATATTTAATTATATCTGAGCACCCATCACTGATAGAAAAGCACTGGCAAAGTGTGACTCCCACAAAGGTTCATGTCTTGGAAAAGTGGCATTTAAAAGGCAAGGTCCTCAGAAGACCAGAGCTTTTAAGCCATTCATCTTGGCAAACTATATATAGTAATAACAATACATGTTTTGAGATACAGTTCTTATCAAGACTTTCAAGGTCTCTCTTTTTTTTTTTTTTTTTGGTGCCTGGGACCGAACTCTGGTCCTTGTGCTTGTGCAGCAGGTGGCAAAACCACTGAGCTAAATCCCCGGCCCTCAAGGTCTCCTTTAACTGTACTCTACTGGGACATGCAGGTATTATATTTTTTACTGCATTGGTATCACATTAATCATTTTTTAAAGCCATCTTTCTTCATTTCCTGAGAAATATCTGTGTACAATCATAGTAACATGTAAGCTCTATTTAAAACAAGGCAGCCATTCTCCCAAGAATATCCCAGTGTCACAAGAAACAAAGCCAAGAGGAGTCAGAGGCTGAGAGACAGCTGTAGTGAGTGACTGGGTCATGGGTGGCCCAAATAGGGGAGGCAGAAAGAGAATAGAAACAAAATTAGCTTTAGGCTCTAGAATACTTGTTTTTCAGTTTGTCAATGGCCACCCTGGGCCAGCTACTTCCCCTTTTTGTGTCTTAAGCAGGAGGTAAAACTAGTTATTCCACTTACCTTCAAAAGGTTGTTTGAAGGTCAAATGAGACACTAGAACTTCGAAAGCAGTGAAAATATGAATCACTGCTTTTAGCCTGCTATCAGAGTTCCCTGAATCTACTATATAGAGGACGGAATGAACGGGTCAAAGGCAGTAAAAGAGAGGGCCGCTCAGTTGTTGGGCCTGGAGGAATACAAGAAAAGAGAAGTGTTGGAGGAAGGAGTGCAAGAACTGGTTTTATGGGGAAGATGATGTTTTATGATTAAGGCAAGAATGGGCCAATTAAGTAGAAAGGTCTCACAGGCTGGGGACGAAAATGAAGGTCTGGGCTAGGATGAAAATGATGAAAGCATCCAGAGAATTTGTTGGCAGAAAAGCAGGCAGCTTGCCTGACCTACACATCTGGGTGGATGGGGGATTAGAGATGTCAAAGAGAGAAAAGAAAGACAGAACAAATATGAACAGAGAGCAAGAGTAACGCTGATAATATAGTAGTGTTTTTTCTTCTAAGGGAAGACAGTTTGAGAAAAGGAACATTCAGTACTGTTAAGTGACTCAGAAAGATACAGGAGAACTAGAATCAAGAAGGTCATTAGCTCTGAACACTGGGAGGCCATTGATACCTTTGAAAATGGAGGTGCAGTGGAGTAATGGGGAGGAGAATAAGACTTTACATGTTTGGAAGTGAAAGCATGAAAGGAGAAAGGATAGAGTGAAAAATTAATTTAGCAATGTAAGAAGGAAAAAATGAGGAAACAGCAAAGAAGTGAAAGAATAGTGAATGGGTGGAAGAGTGATTAGTTGAACGAGAACACTGGACAAACTTTTATCAGAAATGAGTAGGACATGGGTGCCAATCTGGAACACCAACATACGATGTCACTGAATCTTTCATTTTACCTTGGGTGAAGCCAGTAAAAGTCAAATATCCACATGTAGCAAAGAGCACACAGATAAATACCGACACCAAGATGGACATATGGACGATGCGGGACCACTTAGGTACTGTGGGTTCTTCCAAAGAACCATAAACTAAAAAGCAGTTATGGTGGCAAATTAATGCTGTAATACCGAAAGAAAAAAAAAGCATTATTAAAGCAAGTACCAGGGTTTTTTAATTCTGAAAATTTAAAAATGCATGCTACTTTAGAATGTCAATCAAATAAAGTTCAGTATATTAATTTACTAAATATGCTAGAAAACCAATTTTCTAATTTGTCAAGGAATGAGAAATTCACATCAGGTTTATATGATACCTCATGTCATGCTTAACATAAACCAGATCTACCCAAACTTCTCGCTCATTTTCCTCTTCCTAATGACCCTTCACATACTAAGGAAAATCTAAACAATACCATAATTATCAGTACATGACTTCCCTTGCTATCTGTGACATAGAGTGAAATTGGACATTTGAGTTATTCTTACTACTCTGTGTACAAGGTTTTGAAAAAGTCCATAACACTGGCTAGACCTCCAAATTCAGAAACAAGGTAACTACACACATACAAAAAAAAAAAAAAAAAAGAAAAGGAAAGGAAAAGAAACAAGATAACCATAATAAGTTTCTTGCAAGAGAAATAGATTTCCCCAAATGGAAGAAAATTTTAGTGATGAGTGAGAAAAGTTTGAGACTAATTTTACATTGGCACAAACTAGATCACATCCTGCTAAGAAGAAATCTAAAACTTAGCAGATTTGCTACCCAGTCACAAGAATGAAAGAGTATTTTTTCATGGCACAGATGACTCCCAAGACTCCATCTTGAAGCCACATACTCACCAAAAGACATAACTCCAACAGCCTGAATGGCATTGGGCTTTGCAAATACCCAGGCATCTTCTGTTTTTGGTCTAGAAGAGAATCAGGAAATTTGATAAATTATTAAACAAATGCAAGCACAAGTATATTAGAGAATAAAAAATGGTTCACAAATAAAAATTGAGTGTCTTTAAGTCAGAAATTAAGGAGCCCCTATTAATCTTATTTAATGATAAATAAATTTTCAGGGGATATGAATCTTATCTCAACCTTTGTCTGCTAAAATGCACGTTGAATATTTGGACAGATTCTATTTTTACATATGTAAAATATCCATTGATTATGTATTTTTGTGAATTTATTTGTTTATCAGTGTATCAACAAATTTTTATTATATATTTACTTGAGATGTCTGTTGAGGGAGATACAAAATTAATAATGTCCAATTACTACTCTTTATTTCTTTAGTTTTTTCAAGCTCAATCTACCCAAGGGAAATGTAGTCAGCATAGCAATTTATTGAGGGAGGCAGACAAGAGCTAATACCCGTTGAGAGTGCACTATGTCCTCTGTTATCTCATTTAATTTTTACAATAATATTCCAGTATTATCATCATCTAACAAAAGGAAAGTCAGTTTCTGGGTGGTGATATAATTTGTCAAGCTTCTACAGATAAGTAAAGAAGTTGAGATTTGTCTTCTTGGTCTACTTTTTCCAATATCTTCCATGTTGAACTGTCAGTGGCCTCAAATTTCCCCTTGTGGATACACTTCCCAAAAGGAGTTTTGGAAATACTTTCTATGCACTTTATTTATTTATTTTTTATTTATATATTAATTGGTACATTTTAGGTATACAATACATTTACATTTATCATTGGGTGTTTGTACCTTTTCTATGCACTTTAAATAGCTCAAGGAATTCTATATCCTACTGGAATTAAACTAATCTATATCTACAGGGATTGGTCTATCTGTTTAACACTCTCTCATTTAAGTAATAATGGCACAGAGCCAGGTCAAATAGACAATAGCCTATGTTGTTCTTCCAGCTTTTCCCACTTACTAGCTATGTGATCTTAGGCAAGTTACTTGAATTTTCTATGCTTCAATTTTTACATCTGTAAAATGTGGATAAGAGTAGTATTAAGTTACTGTTCAGATTAAACATATAAAACACATAAAACTTCTGGAAGAGAGACTATCACATAGTACATGTCAGTAAATAGTTACTAGTTTTAGCATCATTATTTTATTATTAGCCATTGTTATTTAATAGATGGTACCAAACAGTGTAAAAGCATGACCTACTTTTCTAGAAAGGAAAGACTTGAGTGTGTCTTAAAAGAATGCATGAAGATAGAAGAGGAGGGCAGGGAGAGCACCTAGAAGACACAAAAACACTGAGAATTTTAAATAAAGAAGAATTCCAAAGACCAAAGCCACCACCCATAAATAACAATTTATTCTCTATGAAAAGAAGACACAAAAAAATCCCATTTTGTCAAAGTTTGTGGGATTCATGCATTATATTATCTTTCCTTCCACCTATGAGCCAAGCAATTGTAGTCACAAAGAACTTTTTGGCCTCCTGCTGTTAAGCGATCCGCTCCAATTCCAGTTCTTTGAGTGGGCGCTGCTGCCACCTGCTGCTCCCTTGACTCTTACTGCAGTCCTGCCCACTTGCCAAATTCCAAATTCCTCAGCCTGGGAAAACACACATTCGGTTTATCCTCTTTAGCAAATGATTGAGATCAGGCAGTACTAACAACTGTGCAAATTTGAAAATTGTCTAACTTTCTAGTATGTTCTAAGTGATATGCTTTGTCAGGAAGACTATTGCATGTGGAAAATACTTGTTTCCCACTCAGTGTAGATTGTGATGGAGCTCTACTTTTAAAGCCTTCTGTCAGGAAAGAAAATGTTAGAATTTGATTTTCATTCTTTTCCTTTCATTAATTCTTTTCCTGGTCCATTTTGTTCCTTGAGCATATTCCTGGAATGTGTAGCAATACCTAGAGATAATTTTGGATATTCTCTGTTCATATTTCTTTTTTTAAATTGTTTTGTTTTTTTTTTTTTGGACCAGGCATCAAACTTGGGACCTTGAGCTTGCGAGGCAGGCGGTGGAACCACTGAGCTAGATCCCTGGCCCTCTCTGTTCATGTTAATGGTGATGATTTTATAAAATATAAAGTACCAAAAAAGATATTATGGATCAGACAATATATGTGTCCAAATTTAGGGAAAGAGAAGAAAAGAGATATTATTGAATATAACTTTCTAATCATTTATGGTACAGCAACAGATTAAGTTCCATTAAAAATGTTCAAATGGAGGTGGGGGAGGAGAAAGAGCCCATTGGTATATTGATGAGATTGTGGAACTTTTTTTTTTTTGGTATCGGGGATTGAACTCAGGACCTTGTGCATGCTAGGCAGGTGGCGGAACCACTGAGCTAAATGCCCAGCCCAAGATTGTAGAACTCTTGATATTCAATCTGGAAGAAAAAAAATTACATCATAGTTCTCCTGACTTTAGTTTATAGATGTTAAAATACAAATGAAATATTAATTAGTGCTGTCAAGTAATTCATAAGATTAAAATTCATTATTATAAAGAGTTTTTCCTATAAATGTAAGGATAGATTAGTAACAGAAATACATATCAAAATTTACCATATTAACAGATTAATGGAGAAAAAAAGCTTATGAACATTTCATAAGATACAAAAATGTATATGGTTCAGTATTTACATTGATAAACATGGTAAGTAAACTGTTAAATAGAACTTCCCTAACCTATTAAGAAATATCTATAACAAAACCTATAGCAAATGACATATCTAAAAGTGAAGTTAGAAATATTACAATTAGGGGCCAGGAATTTAGCTCAGTGGCACCAAGCCTGCCTTGCAAGCACAAGGCCCTGAGTTCTATCCCCATACAAAAAAAAATTACAATTTAAAGAAGAATCCAAATAAGGATGTTCAGTGTCACTGGTTATAGGACATACTATTGAGATTCCTAGCTAATTCAGTAAAATAACAAGAGGTGTGATCATTGGAAAGGAATATGTTACTTGTACACCATATGATTGTGTACACAGAAAATATAGGAGACTCCATTGATAAGGTTTTGGAATTAATAAGAAGACTCAGTAAAGTTACTGGACAAAAGTTCAACACACACAAAGTCAGTGAGTCTGATGTATATAACTAAGAATTTTTAAAAATTGCAGTGACAATAGAAACACTATTTTATTTCAGTTTTCATTTTTATTAGTACATGTTTACAATATGTAATGATTACATTCCTTAAAGTGAGTTGGTACAATTACATGACACATTTTAATTCTTTTTTTTTTCCAGCCACTTTCCCTTCCCTATAGTTCTTCCCTTCATCTTTTAATCCCCTTTACATATCAGAAAGGTCTATCTCCCTACTTCTTATGTATCCTTTATTTTGCTCTTTACTTATTTTTGGGGGGGTTCATATAAGAAAAACCACACAATAATTAAACTTGTCTTGTTTGTTTTACTAAACATTATGATCTCAAGATGCATCCATTTTCCTGAAAATAACTCTATTTTATCCTTCTGTATGGCAGAGTAGTATTCCATCGTGTATAAATATCACACTTTTTAATCTATTCATTTGTCAGTGGGCATATAGGCTGCTTCCTAGATTTAGCTATTATAAATTGTGCTGTTATAAACATGGGTATGCATGTATCACTGTGATAGAAGGACTTTTTAACATTTTCAGGAGATACCTAGAGGGAGACTAGGTGGGCCAAATGGAATTTCTAGTTTTAGTTTTTTGAGTAATCATCATACCGATTTTCATAGTGGTTGTACTAGTTTACATTCCCACCAACAATGTGTAAGGGTTTCTTTTTTCCTCCTGCAGTTTTCTCAGCATTTGTTATTATGTGATTTCTTGATGATAGCCATTCTTTCTGGAGTAAGATGGAATCTTAGTGTGGTTTTAATTTCCATTTCTCTAATGGCCAAAAATGATGAACATTTATTCGTGTTTTAGTGGCCATTTATATTTCCTCTGAGAAGTGTTTATTCATTTTTTATTTGGTGTTTTATTTTACAGAGCCTAAGTTTTTTTTAGTTCTTTATATATTCTAGTTATTAGCCCTCTGTTTGGGGAATAGTTGGCAAAATTTTCCCCATCTGTAGATTATTTCTTCACTTTGTTGGTTGTTTCCTTTGTTGTGCAGAAGCTTTTTAGCTTTATATGGTAACATTTGTTGGTTGTTGGTACTATTTCTTGTACAATTGGTTTTCTGTGCAGAAAGTCTTTGCCTATGCTTATGACTTCAAGAGTTTTACCTGTTTTATCTTCCAGCAGATTTGTTCTGATTTCACATTTAGATTTTTGATTCATTTTGATTTTCATTTAATGCATACGAGAGATATGGGTATAGATTCAATCTTCTTCATGTGGATAGCCAATTTTCCCAGTTTCATTTATTAAAGAGGCTATCTTTCCATCAGTTTATGTTTTTGGCCCCTTTGTCAAAGACCAAATAGCTGAATGTGTCTAGGGTTGTTTTTGCATCCTCTTTTCTGTTCCATTGATTCTCATGTCTGTTTTTGTGCCAGTACCATGCTATTTTTATCACTGTAGCTTTGTAATTTGACTTTGAATCTGTGACTTTGATATTTCCTGCTTTTCTCTTGTTCTCAGGATTGCTTTTGCTATTCTGGGTCTCTTCTAGTTCCATCTGAATTTTGGGAGTGTTTTCTCTAGTTCTGTGAATGGGTAGTTTGATTGAGACTGCATTAAATCTGTTTATCAGTTTTGGAAGTATGGCCTTTTTAATTATATTGGTTCTGCCTATCCTAGAACAGGGGATATCTTTCATTTTCTGATGTCCTATTTGATTTTCCTTTTCAAAGTAGTGTGGTTTTCATTGTGGGGGTCTTTTTACTTCCTTGGTTAGGTTAATTCCTAATTATTTAATTTTTATTGATGCTATTGTGAATGGTATTTTTTTCTTAATTTTTTTTCTCAGTGAGTTCATTATTGGTGTACTGGGATACATACTACTGACTTTTGTGTGTTGATTTTATGTCCTGGCACATTGCTGAATTTGGTTATGTTTGGAGTTTTTTGGTGGAAGTTTTTGCATCTTCCATCTACAGGATCAAGTCATCTTTAAATAATGATAATTTGACTTCTCTCTTTCCTATACATATCTCTTTTATTTCTTTTTATTTCTTTTTTTCCCTCTGATTGCTCTTGCTAATGCTTCAAGCTGTATGTTGAACAGGAATGGTGACAGTGGACATTCTTGACATGATCCTGATTTTAGAGAGAAAGCTTTCAGTTTTTCCATATTTAGTATGATGTTGACAATAAATTTGTTATAAAATTTTTTTATCGGTTGAGATAGGTCCCACTGTATCTATCTTCTTCATTATTTTTATCATGAATCTATGTTGGAATTTGTCAACATCCATTTTTTCTGTGTTTATTGGGATGGTCGTGTGATTTTGTGCATGCTTCTGTTTATGTGATATATTACATATATCGATATGCATATGTTGAACCTTCCTTGCATCCCTGGGGTGAAACCTTCTTGCTCATGATGCCTGACCTTGATGATTTATTGCATTCTGTTTGCCAGCATTTTAAACTTCCACAGGGAGGAAGGTTAATTTAAAATTGAGGTTAATTTAAATCAAGTTCAGTCCTTAGCACAGTGGCAACTACCCAATCCTCACACCCAGCCCTGTGGGAGATAACCACACATATGTTCTAGGGAGCATGTATGCAGCTTGTGGGAGCCTGGCTAGGCAAAAAGCACTTTTTCTTCCAAACATATAGGAGTTTTGCTCATATTGCTTACTGCTTATTCTGATCACAAAGTGAAGACAAAAAGAAAAGCAACCATGATTACTACATCTACCTCTATTGTTTCAAGCCACCCCACTAACTGAATTGACTTTTAGGGGATTTAAAGAACAAGCACCTTCCTTTCTGTTCCTTTTTTTTCTTCTTTCCTCTTGGGAGCCAAAATTAAAGACTAGGATACTCACAAGTAGCTGCATAAACAGGAGAAGTTAGAAAGTGATTACACATGCCCAAGGAAAGGTACAGCTTCAGAAAAGACCTGAAAAACTTTAAGCTTACATTTCAGACTGTTTCTTGGCACAGATACAGCCTATGACAAATTTTTCAAAAAGCAATAAACAAAAACAATGAAAACAACAAACCCCACAGCAGCAGGAAGTTTGACTTCTGGAGTTACATTATTAGATTCACTCACTCATATTTCAACAAAAAGTCACAAGACATACGAAGAAAACATAAAGCATGACCTATTTAAAGGGAAAAAACTACCAGCAACAGAAACTGTCGGTAAAAAATATAGGAAGGCAGGTCTACTGGATAAAGATTTTAAAACAACTGTCTTAAAGATGACTAATGAAGTAAAAGAAAATGTGGACAAAGTCAAGAAAATGATATATGAGCAAAATGGAAACACCAATAAAGAAGTAGAAAGCCTGAAAAGTGATAAACAAATGGGCCAGGGATTTATCTCAGTGGCACCGAGCCTACCTCAAAAGGGAAAGGTCCTGAGTTTCATCCTGCTACCAAAAAAAAAAAAAAAAAAAGAGAGAGAGAGATAAACAAGAAATTCTGCATTGGAAAAATATAATAGCTGAAATGATAAATTTGACAGTGGGATTCAAACACAGATTTGAGCAGAAAGAAGAACGAATCAGTGAACTTGGAGTTAGTAGTATGGAAAATTTCAAATCTGAGGAACAAGAACAAAAAAGATTGAAGAAAAGTAGCAGAGTCTAAGGGGCCTGTAGGACACCATGAACCAAAACAACATACATGTTGTGAGAGTCTCAGAGGAGGATAGAGAGAGAAAGAGAAAGGGAGGGGAACAGGACACACACACACAAACACACACACACACACACACACAGTCATAGAGATAGAGAGACAGAGAGACAGAGAGAGAAAGAAATAATGGAGGAAAACGTATCAAATTTTCAAAAGACATGAAGATAAACATTGAAGAGGGCTGGAGATTTAACTCAGTGGTTCCAGCACCTGCCTTGCAAGAGCAAGGTCCTGAGTTTGATTCCTGGTACCAAAAAAAAAAAAAAAAATTGAAGAACCTTAATAAATTTGATAAGATGAACTCAAAAAGACTCACTCTGAGACACATTGTAATTATTTTCAAAATAATCTTATTTGTTTATGAAAATTTCTAATTATAAAGGGGATTTATTCTCTTAGTATTACAGAAATGAAATTTCTTCTCTGTATTGAACTATAGGGGAAGGATATGAAAGAGTCTATTTATGTTTTATGGTTGACATTGATAAAATGTTAAATACAGTGACATTTAGGTTAATTTCTTGAACACCTAATACTACCTTTTCATGGAGAGCCAGAGACAATCTATTTGATTCAGGAAACTTATAATTTCACTTTCAGTAATTACTTGGAGTTCTTGCATTTTGTTTTCCTTTAAGATAAAGTGGCCTTATGTGTATAAATCTTCAGAGGTGTGAGTGTGTACTTGTTTCAAATTCTTTGGAAATAAGGGAAACTTAATTTCTCATGACTTTATCAAATCAAGCTTTTACTGAATGTATAAATAGGCACAAGTAATCAATCCTCAATTTGGGATATTAGGTAAAGAAATATTTAGCGTAACAAGATAAAAGTCTTATTTTGATCATTGCCTTTCATAGATCTCTCCCCAAAGCTTTCATTTAGATACAAATACATATGGTACTTACTTTTCATTTTTTCCCCCTAGTATCTTGATCAAGTACAGAATAATAGTGGTTATAAACTAATTGATACAGAGGGGAACTGGATAATACAGTAATTGGATACTTTAAAAAAATATTTTGCATTGACATATACAATTGGACATATTTTTGGGCTATCATGTGATGTTTTGATACATGCATATATTGTGCAATGCTCAAATCAGAGTAGGCATGTCTATCTCATCAAACATTTATTGTTTCTTTGTGGTGAAAATATTTAAAATTCTTTCTACTAGTTTTTTGGAAATATACAGTACATTATCTTTTTATTGTTATCTGTGGTCAACCTACTGTGCAATAAAACATAGTCTTTTTCCTCTTAATTGTAACTTTTTTATTAAACTTTCCTCATTTCCCACCGCCAGTCTCCCTGCCTTTGGTAACTACCATTCTACTTTCAAGCTTTTTTTTTTTGTATTGGGGAATGAACTCAGGACCTTGCACTTTTGAGGTTGGCACAGTGCCACTGAGCTAAATCCCTGACCCACTTCTCTCAACTTTTATGATACCAACTTTTTTGTATTCCCCAAGAGTGAGATATTGTAGTCTTCCTGTGCCTGACTTATTTCATTTGACATAATAATTTCCAGTTCCATCCATGTTGTTAGAAATGATAAGATTTTCTGGCATAATAGCATTCAATTTATTGATGTACCACATTTTCTTTATCCATTCATCAGTTAATTTTCACTTAGGTTGCTTTCATTTCTTGAAATGTGAACAGTACTTTGACAAGCAATTGGATACTTTTTTGATAGACAACTATCTATCTTCTAGTAATTCTAGAAATAATGTTTCTAAGTCATAAAATATATTTCAAATATGTTTTAATTTGTATTTTAAAATTTCATACAACTCTATAATCAAAAGCTAAACTTGTGGGACTGGGCATTTAGCTCAGTGGTTCTGGTGCCTGCCTTGCAAACACAAGGTCCTGAGTTCGTTCCCTGGTACCAAAAAAAAACCTTGAGAACTCAATTAAATATGGATGAATGGGCCACATAAGTTTACTTTCTCTTCTGAAGCCCCACTAAAATGCTTCTACAGGAATTTAAAATGGGGATAAGTTCATGGGAAGAGGATAGTGGCACCAGAGTCATCAGTGAAAATATTTTGTGAAAAGGAAAGTGGATGCTTATGTGTTAAGTATTGAGAATGGAAGATGTTACCACCATGGATAGAGAGTTCATAATGAGAAAGAGCTGATTTTCTTTGCAAAATTCTTGAGTGTGTAAAAATCGGAGACACCACCATAAAGCTAGTGGGGATACTCCAGTAAAAGGAGAAAGTAAAGAAAATGGAATCTCTGGGATATAGGCAGAGGGAATCTGACACCATAAAGGGGGAAAAGGAAATCTTAGTATAGTACTGAGGGAGTAAGCAGAAACATTGTCTGGCTAGGGAGGAGCATCATGACAGAAAGCTCTGGGAGAGAGGTATCTAGAAAAATTAATACAATTCAGATTATCTTATTTGTTTGAGTATTTGGAAGAGTAGTAACAAAAATGATCAATTTTACAAGCCAGGCTAAACAATTTTTTAAAAAGCTGAAAGGAGGGCCAGGGATTTAGCTCAGTGGCACCACACCTGCCTCAAAAGCACAAGGTCTTGAGTTTGATCCCTGGTACCAAAAAAAAAAAAAAAAAAAAAAAAAAAATCTGAAAGGAAGTATTAACTGTAGGGGGGAAAAAGAAAGTAAAAGTGTAAAGGAAGAGAAATATAAGTATTTAATTTTAAAAGTTGTGGTATATCTATGTATTATAGTATGTAAAAAGGAAAAAGATAACTAAGGGATTGCTTTATAGCAGTAGGTAGCTTTAGCATGACTAATAAATACTTTTGTAAGAATGATTGCTTCCCTTACTTTCCAAAAATCTCAACAAGTTCTTAGTTACATACTTCATCTTTCTGTTTCCCCTGGGGATTGAAGCCAGGGCCTTATACATGTTACATATCAGCAAGCCCTACCACTGGTCTTCGCTTGCACCCCTGTGTACTGTTGATAAACCTTTTTGTGTGAGGAGGGAAAGGCAGGAAGTAGAGAAATTTGGGACAAGTAAATTCATTTTGCAAAGTTCGGATTCTTGGATTCAGATGTTTCTTCCTGTTTTGAAATATAAACTCCTCCTTATCTTCACAACAGCTGAGTAGCAATAAGACAACATAGGAAGTCAGTCCTGTAAAATATTCCTCTAGTGTTTACACACTGAAAAAAACCAGCTTCAGCTTGATTGCTCCTCAGACTTAGAATGTGAGAACTGGGAATCAGGAGGATGAAATCTAGTACAGCCCAAACTCTTTTCAGCCAAACAGAGCCACCTTTCAAAATTATATTAAGCTGGCAAGGCCTGCATTTTTGCTTTAAGAGCTTTATGTGTTAACCACTTTAAGCAGACACATCTAAGAGTTAAGTGCACCAGATGGCACACAAAATAAAGCTCTACAATTCCTGTCACACCAGAAGCTATTAATGACAGGCAGATCTGACCACTTCCCCCAGCTCAGGCTTCAGCTGAGGGTTCTCTGCCACTTCCCCACTCCCCGCTCACTTGTCTTTGATTCTGTTCAGTGATAAATGTGGTTTACATGCACAGCAAAAGCTGCTCAGGCAAATTAGTCTGAGGGAATCACTATAAACATCAAAACAGTTCCTTTTTTTTTAAATAAAGTTTTTAAAAGTTGATTTTAATTTAAAATTTACAGAAAGTTTTATGCTTTTATGCTTTTATGTTTTTGCCAAAATATAACTTTATTTTAAAAAATATGAATCACGTAATAGTTTTGGCACCATAAATCTCTCAGTTTTTTTTTTTTGTGTCCTTTGGGACACCAACATCTTTTGATTCTTATTGTCATCTACTGTGTTCATTTTTATTTTCCTGTTGTTGCCTCCTGAGTAGCTGGGATTACCGGCATGCATCACTATGGTGACCACTGTATTGATTTTATTGTCTCCAATTCCTCTATCAACTCTTTGAAAAATTTTCACTATGTTTACTGTTGCTTGGAATAAACAGGCACAACACAGATGGGAAGGGGTAAGATTTTACTCTTTTAAATGAACTCCACCAAAGGATCTTGGACAGAGTTATCTGACACAAGAAAGAGGCAAAAAGAAGCCCTAGGATGACAATGGGGAGTGAACTGTCCAGAAAGGAGCAGGGTGACCTTTATATGTAGATACACAGATCACATTTCTGGGCCTCATCCATTTCTGCTAACAGTACCTTTTCACCTCTCTCTATCACTCCTGACCCTTTTTTTTTTTTTAATCCAATTAATGCTCATGAATTTTTTTGAGCAGCAGATCATGTACTCTCTTAGCCTGAAATATTACCTGCATACATTGGTTGGGCTGGGGCCCTGTTTCCATGGCACCTGCCCATAATTCTATTACATGATATATTGAGAATGTCTTTCAGATGTCTATTCCATAAACTATAGTGATCTGAGGTCAGGGAATGTGCTTTTTTTTTTATCTTTGGAGTCCTCAAAAGTAGAAGAGTGAGTAGGATCAGTTAGGCATTTAAAAATGTTCTTACTGGATCAAAGAATAGGTCATTCTATTTTAGCTCTTTGGTTTTGAGTCTGTATCAGAGACCAGTCTAGCTTCAGTCTGGTATTACTGAGAGGTGGTAGATCTCATGAAGGCAGCCATTTATAAAAATAGATGCTGCTGCTGGGCACAGTGGTGCATGCCTATAATCCCAGCACTCAAGAGGCTGAGGCAGGAAGATCATTGTGAGTTCGAGGGCAGC